ATTTTCTTTTGTCTACCGACTCAAAACTTTGAGGATGATGTTCTGTTGTGATCTACTTTTTTCGCACCGTTCATCAATCATCATCATCGTCACTTTCATTAGATAACTTCATGCTGCCAATAACTGCGTCGGACGTTTTGTATGCATTTTTGTTCAAGCGGTATGGAAGTCATTTTCATCACATTCGGTGAAATTTACGAGTGGTAGAACATGGCTTTCTGATGGCATTATTTGAGTTGTATCAAAAATTATATTTAACAAATCGTTCTTGCTCGCATTTAGTATACTCGTTCGGATTACACGTGCATGATAGATAATTCGAGAAAAATGGATTAATGGAATTGTAGAAATGGATTTTCTTTATCTTAAACGTATATCGGGTGGCCCAGATATACGTCACATATTCTCATAAAAGTGTCCGATTTTAAAAATCGGACACTTTTATTTCGATCATATCGCCCGTTCTTTTGAAGCTATAAGCCTAGTTTTCTTCCCAGTAGATTCTTTCTCCAAGAAATCGTCTACAAAACTTTCAATTTTAGTCAACACAAACAGTTTCCATCGTTTTGCAAAATCCGATACATTCGTTTACTCCTCCAATCTTCAACACTTTCCCTTAGAACATCATAACGAATTTTTTTTACGCCAAGCTTCAGCTTCTTGATTAACGTCGATTTTGATCGTACTCGACTCCAATTTATAGCCTGATTCAACTTATCCCAAATACAGTAATCCATTGGGTTTAAGTCAGGACTATTTGCTGACCAACGTTTACACGAAATAAATTGTGGTATATTTTCACGACACCATTTTTGTGTAATGTCATCTTGATGAGGCGGCGCATTGTCTTGCTGAAAAGTCCAATCATCGCCTAGCACCTTATTTGCATATTTTTTGGCTATCGGAAGCACTTTTTTAATGTATACATGATTAACCGCGCCTTTATCGAGAATAACGAGTGGTGTTAAACCTTCGGCACAAGCACCTAACCATACCATAACTTTGGCGGGAAATTTTTGTTTCTTTTTAATACCACCCTTTCTATCTGCTTCGAAACGATTCACTGCCCAAATACGATCATTTTGTGCATTGTACATACCATTGATGTCAAACATTTTTTCATCAGAAAAAAGAATTTTTCGAGTTTGATGTTTTGTAAAATTTTTTTACACCCGTTTGCAAAAGTTTTTCGTTGTTGTTTGTGGTCGTTGGTAATTGCTGGCTCGATAGTTAACTTATATGGATAACATCCTAAATCTTCTTTCAATATTCTCTGAACACTCGTTCTTGATATTTTCAGTTCATTTGCTAATTTGCGTTCGGATACCTTTTTTTGTCTGTTCAGACGCTGTTTAACTTTCATAATCGTTGCCTTTGTTCGAACAGTACGTTCACGACGTCTGGTTTCCTGTAGATTAATTTCACCAGTTGTATTCATCATTTTTATCCAACGACTTATGGTATCTTTTGCTAAACAGCCATTTAAACGCCGAAAAATTTGACGAATACCTAACCCATCATCATGAAGGCAAAGTACCAATTTACGAAGATCTTTACTTTTTGTCATCTGAAACATAAATAAGTAAGTGCTCAACAGTCTCTGTACAGAGTTTTGCAGAGCATTTCTTGGAGAATCTACTGAAAGAAAAGCTAGCGATATGATCGAAATAAAAGTGTCCGATTTTATCTGGGCCACCCGATAATTATTTTTCTGCAAAGAATACAGCAGAAATAAAAGACCATGACCTCCTATTCTGGACTGCAACAAACCTTAGACCGGTCTTCCAAAAGGGACGGTCTACTATTACATGTATGGATTTAATTTTACGTGATTCAGTGTTTAAGCAGTAGTTAACTTTAATCGGAAGAAAAATTTACCAAATTGTAAACAATTGTCATATGTAACAGTAATAAAATATCATCCTACAGTCTTATCTTGTCTTAAGGTGCAATTCTTCAGAGGCGGAGGGCTTCCATTCTGATTCCAGTCGAACTTTATGTATCAGAGAGTTTCAAACGTCTCTCCAATTAGGTATTAGAGCATCGCTTGTGCGCCTTTGGCAATGTTCCCGCAGGGTACTTGTGTTCTAAATCCCTGCCCAAAATAACAGACCACGCTACAATAGAAGACCACCTCTAATTAAATAGCCAGTCTAAAGCCTATGGCGCAAAAGCCAAAACAGGAGTCCACCTTTATTAAAAGATCACTACTTTTTGGAGTCAGTGTACATTAAATAAGTGTAAATGAAATTATAATCCTTATTGCATAATATTCATCTTTCTTATCTTTTTCTGTTCTTTTTTTTGTGTATGTATATTTATATATACTGGATATATGGATACATTATATATATATCATTTTCTCGTCCAAATTAATTTATTTTGTACTTAATACAATTCTCTCTTACATGATACCATTGTTATATTCATTTCGATATATTACACATATCAGTTTTTATGTAAAATGCGTTTTTTCATTCAAATAAAGTTTAATCTCATTTTATTGCCATTAACTCAATATAATGATGAAAGTGATTGAAAATTGTGTTCTATCGTCTTTGACGACGATCTTGCATATTGAAGCTACTATTAAATTAGTTAACAGTGTTATAAATATGAATATATCTAATGACAGTGGTTCTGATGGTATTTTTTTCAGTACAATAAATAAACTTTGAAATAAAAAATAAATATTGTCGGCAGTACTAAATTCAATTTGATAACTGATGTATATGCTACCTACTGTGAGCAATAAAAAGATGATCTTAATAGAAGACCACTCTTTAATTCATAGTTTGACAGACAAACTAGAAGACCAGTGGCTTTCTGTTATGAGGAGGAATTTAGTGATTATTATTAAAACATTTTAGCTCCCTTTTCTCAGAATCGAGAACAGATGATACTAGGTATGCACCGGATCGAGCTACTCGAATTTCGGATAGTTCAATTCGAGTTTTCGGGTAACTCGAAGCTCGGTGCATACCTAGACGATACATGTCCGCTAGTATAGGCAGATGCAGCTTACGATCCCATAGTAAACCTCCATTTTCCTCGGTTTTACCGGAATCATTTTATGGATTATTTTCGAAATATGACAGTGTTACCGTAGTCACCAGAAAAGTTGTGAATTTCGGGCACAGCGTGCAATGTATATCATACATCTCATCTGTCCGCTGTTGTATCATTGATAGTACGTCCGATCTGTTGATACGATCGAGCATATGATTTATACCATACCATTCTGTTACTCGTAATTTCAGTCAATTGTTTGACATTCGTTTTTGGAAACACAGTTTTTTGTTTGGTGTCTATATGAATATAATCGGTGCCTAGCCACCACTGCATTAAGTTTACAGTCCGTAGTACTCAGCTTTTCATGTTTGGATGTATTGGCGGTAGAACATCTCTATCAACGATGGCGGTGTTTTTTATACTACAAATATAGGTCTGACAACATGTGAGTGGCTTTAATTTTTTAACCGTTTGTTGGTGATGTTTTTTGCTTATCGTGTAATAACATTCCTTGTAGTATGAATGTTACACGACTCTGTTTGTAAAACGTTTGGGGTTCAGTTAAAGCAACTGGTAATGAATACTGTGTTTTGAGCACATCGAGAACGTATTCGTGTATAATACTCCTTAAATTAGTCATGAGATAAGGCAAGTTTGAATAAGTCTGTCGATAAACTATCCCGCCATGAACTTGATTTTCTCTTAAAAATATATTGCAGTAAAATAGAAAACAGTCAAACTACTTCTGATAGCTTCTGGTATTTGCTCAACTATTGATTTTATATAGTGTTCGAGAATATTTTTATCATCTGATGAGCTGTTTTTTGTTTCTCATACGTAGTCATTGCTTTTGTTATATGTACTATGATCCAAGACGTCACTGAACGCATGTGTCGACTGCAACTGTGAATGTAAAAGCTTAAATTTAAATGAAAATTAACTTTATCAATTTTTGTACTGTATTCGTAAGTCTAATAATGCTGACGTTGTTTTCTGATACATGGAACGATCGACTACAAAAAGGAACATAAAAAGTTCAACGGAAGTTTGAGAATAATATTTAACTAAATATAATACCTAAAGAAAATGTTGACAGGTCAAAGAAAACTAAGTTGAGCCAAAATAAACGAACTTTTCTCAGGCAAAATAACTTCTTGTATTGATTTCTGTTGTTTTGATTGTGAGTGTTGACCGATAACCTGGTCAGTGTCTGTAATTAACTGGCCTTGAAAACCAAACGGCTCTTTCAATGCCAATTACAGATTATGAGCAAACAGTAAGTCGAGTTGTCAGTGTCTAAACTGTGCGTAAAGTAAATAATTTTTTCACCAGTGTCCATCATATTCGCAGTTTTTCGAAGATTTACGTCCCAATCAAGAGATCTCGTTGTTGTTTTGACCTGCGTTGTGCAAGATACATTTCTGTTCTGTTTTCATTTTCGTTGTCACAGTGCGTAGAACGAGAAAAACGTCTTTCTTCTCATTATTCATTATGTTTTAATAAGGTTATGGTAGTTTATGTTACTCACTTACTCACAAAAAACATCATCGGTTATGATATTTATTATTTTTGTCCGCTTTGTCAAAGGTGAAAGAAAAAAGGAAAAACAGTGGGAGGGAAAAGAGAACGCATGCAAAGCACATTAAAAATAATTTTTACAAGCACAGATATCCAAACAGTTATATATTCCACTACCACAGGTGATGCGGACATTATTCTACAAGTAGAAGTAGCATCTAAACGGAAGAAAAAAACGTCGTATTTTCTAAATGGCACAAATTCATTTTATTTTGATTATTCCACTTCTTCTGCTCGTTATGCACTTTTATGCTGCCGCCCATCCATCAACTACGGTGACAAAAACAGTGTTTGCTCTCAAACCTCACACACCACTATCATACACCACTGAAACTTGGTTATATTCGATCCTTGGTGCATCGATAGTGGGAGCGATTGGAATTCTACCGATCTTATTTGTACCCAACATTGAACAAACTTCAAAAAACCCGGAAAAAAGTATGTTGAATATGTATTCTTGTTCTATTAAGCCTAATAGCATTTATTTCAGGGCATAATTTATCGTTCATTCTTCTCCTGAGTATAGCTGTCGGTAGTCTCTTGGGAGACGTATTTCTTCATTTACTGCCGGAAACGTGGGCACATGTCGGGACCGACCAGTCATCAACGATCATTGTTGGAATGTCAGTTGTTAGCGGATTCTTGTTCTTTCTACTAATTGAAAAAATATTTCCAGACGACGATGACGACGATATAAAAAAATCTGATCACTATTTGCATCAAACAGAACAAATCCTAGTAAAACAAATGGATAATATGACGAAACAACGACATGTAACAAGGCAAGTGAGTATAATTAAAATGAAAAGAAAAGTAGTGGTTAACTGATATTAGTTGAACGTAAAATTCTGCCTCGCTGTATTTTAGGACTGTTGTGTAAGAATTTTAACTGTTCAGTTTCTTTCATACTTGGAAGTACTAAACGCTTTAGAACACATGAAAATAGCACAAAATTACAAAAGCGTGTTCGAACGAATTGAAAGACGGTCGAAATAAAATTTTAATTTAATTAATTTTTCTACCTCTTCCCGAACACGTTAAGACGCCTAACAAATTTGTTTTCGCCTAATTAGAACCTATTATTTTATAAAATTCCTTCCGAAATTACATCCTCCTGTGGCAGACTTCAGCTTGACTGGTGAAACGCTGTCTAGGAAAAACTTTTCGATTTTGCCGGCTGCATGCTGTTTGAACTAAGCAGCAAGTATAGCAGAACATTTTCAATACTAATCACGGATCCCACGGCTATTTGGCTTTCGCGAAGCGAGTCTTCCTCGACTTTTTGAATCAATACTGATAAATACTGCAACCCTGGGTACCATGTTTATCTGGATGACTATTACAACACTGTCGACATGGCAAAACTATTATTCTCAAAGAGTTTCCGTGTGTGTGACACTATACCAAAAGAAATCGAAGCATTCCATTAGATCTGAAATCATCGGTGGAGAATCTGGAAAAAAGGTGGAATCGGCTATCATCAGTCATGATATATTTTGTTACAGTCTTGGAATGCTAAGAGACTAGTGAATATGGTGTCAGCTATTCACAGCGCAAAAACTGTAACTTGCACGAAGAACGAGATGGAACTGATGAAATAAAACCAGACGGCATCGGGGACTGTAACAAGTGCACGGCAGGAGTAGACAGAGCTGATTAATACTTATCGTACTATCAGTTTTTGAGCAAGACTAAGAAGTGAACTTGGAGGATTGTGTATTATTTCATTATGCTGAGGTTATTCAGCTCATGCGTGGTGTTCAAGAAACCAAGAGAAGTTACATGCAGTACCTGATCGAAATTGCAAGAAGCTTAATCTATACTACAAGAGTAACGATAGCTCTGAAACTGACATTACAGCTGGTTCAAGTGAAGTAAGCAAGAGTCAACGAGCTACTGATCCTGACAACCTATTATCACAGAAGATATTTGAACATACTTCGACAAACATTCCTTCAACCGAGAAAAAAAAGACCTCTGCCCGGCATTGCCGAGTTTGTCTAAGAAATATAAAACGAAATGAAACCAAATATGTGCAAAAACTGAGCGGTTCCTTTACATAAACGAGAATGCTACACCAAATATCACACTAAGAAAAAACACTGGTAATCGTATTCATGCAATGTTTATGTACATATTATCAGTCTTTATACTTACAATATATATGGTAATACACATTACTGTAATATTCATTCTTTCTTTTTCGCCTTCTTTTTCAATATAACTAGTTTCCCAAACATATTTCCCTCTACATACAAATAAAACTTATCATGTTTCCAGTGTGAGTGTTTCAGCAGGGTGTAGTATATATTCGGCATGACATCTGATCCTGGAGTCTTTAGATAGCTGCTGTGGTGACACAACACGCTTCTCAACACGAAAGTTAACACGACACTGGAGGAGCGTCGGTCATCTGTCAGATCCTCCAGGAGTTATGATTACTAAGATAAATACGTCTTGCTTAACACTGACAGACCTATTTCTTGCAAACACGATGCAACAAAACCGTTGCTCATTCGTTCAAAGGAATTAAAGCATAGTGGTTTTAAATGGCCGACTTGATGGAAGTTTACCAAAATACGACAGGGACTTAATGTGTTAAGATCGTCTACATGCGTCCTTGTTTTTCAAAACTTCTGTCACGAGAACAAGCACTCAACTCTGTGCTGTTGAACAACAAAAAAGTCAATCTCTATCTTATTTTTCTCAGAAATTTTATCCAAATTGATACTATTTGATACTTTACAGTGAGTAATTTTCCACTTACAAAAGATTAATTTATACATACAATGAGGCATCATAGAGTAGCAATGAATCATTCTCATAAGAGTTTCTGATTTTAAAGATTTATTGTTTAGAATGGGCTAATTCCAGAGAATGATCAACATAAAGAGATTACTGTCAAGAAGAAGATCAAAGTATGATTCAGACCACTTTCGATTAGTTCTCTACATATGCCTTGAATTTAGACAATGGGTTGGCTGAATTTATTGGCCAATGTTATGGATAATTTTACTCATGGTCTCGCCATCGGCGGTAGTTTTGCTGTGAGCCATAAGGTAAAGAATGATTATGATGTAGAGCACATAATAGCCAGAATAAATTTCAGGTGGGTTACACATCATTTGCCAGTATTGTTCTACACGAGATACCTCATGAGTTGGGCGATTTTGCCATCCTGCTGAAAGCAGGATTCACCAGACAGGGAGCAGCAAAAGTACAGGTAAATCGAAGAGTGAAGAGAAAATTTTACTCTGATGACAAAAAGTGGAATTTTAGTTTATAACGGCAACTGCTGGTGTATTCGGAGCAGTATTTGCTTTGTATTCAAGTTCAGTGGTGGATACAGGTAATTGTTTTATTTAACCTTTTATAGGAATAAGTGAAACGGTTTCTGATAGCTATTTATTGATACTAAGAAGTTCTTAGTAGTTACTATGAACGAGTGCACATGTAGTTCTTAGTAAGTATCAGATGTGCATTCGTTCATAGTAACTCCGAACAAAATGACTAAATTTAGGGCTTCGATAAAGTACAAAGGACAGCTATCGTCTTTGAATAAATTCTGAAAAAACTCTTCTATTTGACATCTATAGGCACTCGAACCGCATATGTTCTTCCATTTACATCAGGTGGCTTTTTGTTTGTGGCACTAGTCAAAACAGTACCAGATTTGCTACAGATGACCACATTAGGGTAAGTACTGGTGGAGGCTCACTTAGACCCATGTCTGTGAGGTATCTATGCTATTTAGAGAATCATTGTTACAAATATTTGGCATCTTAAGTGGCCTGTTGGCTATAGCGGGCGTTATTTATTTTTTTGAATGAAACTTAGTTCGTATATTTGATTATGGCCGCATTCATGTTTTGTTTCTGTCAATATCATTCGTTATTTTTCTTTTTAACTGTATTTGTTTTACCACCTATCCACTGTATTTGTTTACACACCTATCCACCCCTCTGAATCAATCTATATTCGAATCTCTTTGATTTTTATTATGTTTGACGACATCTTTTGGGACGAAAAATAAAGTCATGTCTGATAAAGTATCCGTCTTTGAATTTTTTCGTACCAATTAATCTCCCCTTGCATTCATTCTGTTAGTTCTGTCAAAAAAACTGAAGCATTTCAAGAAATCTTGTCTATAGTTCTTAAACGATGGTTCGTGAGTAAGTTGTGAATGCCTACTTTCTCAATAAAAGTAAAAAGTGTATCTAGACAATGAATTTTCACACGACTGAGGAGACAATTGATAGATAGTCATGTGAAAAGAAACTGTATGTTTCTAGCGGGAATCGAACCAAGAACCTGTGGTAATACACCAGAAACTTTAACCACTGAGCTATCGGCACGATCTAAGATACATTTTCACTTCGCATGAATAGTTTTAACTGTTAGAGCCGCATCTACTGATGCAGTATCCCTCGCACAACGAGTAGTACTATTGCCGATCTCATTAAAAGACTATATAACCTCTCAAGGACCTGATATGCTCATTATTTAGTAGCTAAATTACACTCTAAAAAGACGACTCCTTCAGAAAACTGAAATTGTGTTTTTCATCGGTCAGAAATGGGGACCTGATAAAGGTTTTCCAAAAATTTTGTAAAGCTGTTTTTTTCATTTTCCTGACAAATAAAAATTGACTTTTCGTTTTTTCAGATTCCTATTTGGGACATTTGTGTTTCAGAAAACATCAGAGCGAAAAACACGTTTCTGTTCTTCGCTTTTTCAGAAAACCTGCATCAGAATCTTTCTTTTCCCCAGCCAACTTCTTTTTAAACAATACTACATCTTTGATCGTATGTCGAATTATCTTCTTTGTAAATATTGTCAACTGAAGACCTGCATGAATGGAGAGAACTATGTAATCCACATTCTGTCTTGATCGACGTCTGAAATCTGATTCGATCCGGGTAGAATTAGATTTCGAACGCCGTAGAGTTTGAGTCAAATTTTAGTACTCTGTTGTCAAGAACAAATATGTTCTCGTAAAAAATTTTGTAACTCAGTTTTGATCACTTTCTTTACGTTTGTGACACCATAAAGGGAGATTATTGTGTCGTGCCCCATCGAACTGTACAACAAATCCAAATATCAAGTGGGGGTGCAGAATCTACCCGTTTGCGCCGACGGCCGTCGGGGGAATGAAAACTTTTTGTTTCATGCCGGAGAAATTTAATTAGAATCTTTTACCGTCGGGGGAAGTCGACAGTTTTGTTTAGAATTCGACGGCCTACTTCGATATTTTGAAAACATAATCACATATTCGAAATTAGTGCCCAATCTGAACAAAATAAGATATCTCTTAGACTGGCCAAGTCACTTTCGATTTTTTCGAAAAAATTTTCCCCTACTTCCCTCCGCCTCATGACTTCGAAAAACTTTTTGTCTTAGATTTTCTCAAAATTTACCTCATTCGAATCCGAATTGCATGCTCATTACGGATATCAGATTGAGGTTTGAAAAAAATTGCTTTTTTGTATTCATGCTATAAATGATCTATACGGTTAACGCTGCAGCTAGCGCCCGAGGATATAGGTTGGAAGGCTCCCAAACCACTCAGATATAAGAATGACTTCACTTACTTATAAATGAATGAGCATTCCACATCTAACTAACAAGTCGCTCCAAACTAACATTTTCCCTCAAAAAACCATTTTCAAGTTAAAAACGAGGAAAATGTCTCTAATCCTTCAAGTCATGGGCTTGCCATTTTGTAACAAAGTCATGCCACAATAAGAAAACCGCATGAGCATCTGCAATTTTAGATGCTCTATCGAATGGAAAAAAATCAAACTTTCAAAGTTTGGCCCTTTGGTTCAAAAATGCGTTTCAATACAAGCACTGTATTTGAGACCCGTGTTCTACTGGTTTTTACCTCAGTTTTGATCAATTGACCAAATGCAATAATTCATACATGGTTGAATAGACCATTGAAAGTCACATCTGGTGGCACGCTTTTGTATCTGCATCAGTTCATATTATTGGACAGAAAATTCTTTTCTCCTAACCGAAAATCTTCTTTTTGAAAATCCACTTTCGCGAGCTTGTCTGACTTTCTTTCCAAAAAAAATCTATTTTAAACGGTCAGGAGAAAAGAATTTTTACGTCTTTGTTTTGACATAAGTAGCTAGCATTGAGCAATGTGTAGTTTTTAAGCGGAAAACTGAAAACGTGATTTGTGTAAAGTAGGAGAAGAATGTCTTTTTCCATACATAAGACCGGCCCATTTTTGAGCTATTTTCACAAAATTAAAATTTGTTTTCTCCAATAATATGAACTGATGCAGATACAAAAGCGTGCCACTAGATGTAACTTTCAATGCTCTATTCAATCATAAAACATCAGAACAAGTTCAAAACTTCAGGATATGGTTAAGTTTCTCCGCTAAACGTGATCATAAGACCGAAAAATCGAAAAAGCGTAGTTTGGTTATTGAGTTTTCCAGAAATCCTTTTAGAAAACCTTAGAGTTTTGTAACATTTCTTTTGAGCGCTCCGACAAATGGAATATAGAATGGTTTAAATACTCTACATTCTGAACTTTGAACTTGTTCTGATGTTTATTGAGTGAATAGTGAATTTTTTAATATTTGGTGAAAAGGGCCTGGGAACCCATATTTTCGTAAAAAATCGTTTTTCGGTAGATTTTTAGAACTTTTTCAAGAAATAATTATTCCCACGAGACTCAGCATGATCGATTACCTATAGTCCAACCGTTTTCAAAGCTACCAATAGGTACCGAGAGCCAGTCCTCGGACTCGTAGGAAATCCGACACAACACCGGAGTCGCCGAAAATCAAGGTTTCGCTCGACTCTAATTTTGACGAGGACACCTTGGGCTATCAGACCATCGAGGAAAATCAATACAATCCTATTGAGAAGTTTTTACACGCGGCCTAGTTCTTCCAAGATCTCCTAGAAAATACTTTTAAAAAAGTTTTTGCTTATGGAAAGATGCCTCCAAGTCTCCTCTCTCGCATGGCGAAAGTCGAAGCTCTCCAGGTGACTTCTATCAAAAGTTATTCAAAAAGCAACCGCCTGCCTTGTATTTTGGGACGGATAGTAGTCAATGTCCTTTACATATTTTATATATTTTTCTTCCCTACTTTTTCTGCATGCGAATGTAATTTCTGTACAGTAGTCAGCACCTGTTATATGGTACTACCAACCCCTATTTAAATAAAGCTCTGTAAAAACAAACAAACAAACTAAGTGTTATGTCCCTTTCAAAACAGAGTTATCAATTCGTGCCAGTAATTATGTTCTCAAGAAGAAGAGTAGTATTCGTTTTCCTCTAATGATTTATCGCAGCTCTCACTTAGCCAAGAGTTACTTTTATTTAACGCATCTAAGAACAGTACATAGTTAAATAACGAAGCCTTACTCTACGTCCGTTTCTGTTCTTTATCGTATGTTTAATAGTCAACGTCAGTAATTCTATATGGTCTTGTGATCTGAAGTGTGTAATCAGTTATTAACAATTAAAATTAACAAACTCGCATACTTTATAATTTGTTGATTTATTCATTAATATTGTTGCGTTGTATAAATGGACGAATAATTTTTCGAGTCACTGTATGTTCTAATCTGCCTCGACTATCTGGTACATGTCCATACTCTTAAAGATTTAACAGTTTAGCTATCAAAACTACGACGACTGTATTATTTTCAATATTTTATGTTGCTATTATGACATACCGGCGGCTGTAAGATTCTACTACATATCTTATTTGGTTTTTCTTCAAATATTATTCGGTAACTAATAACAGTCCATTTCACTTATTCTTTAGTAATTGATTTTCACTTTGAGTAGCCATCTAATAGATAGTGTTTTACATATTTCGTCTTACCGTCGGATCAGCTTTCTTAAAATTTTCTAATGCTCTTCTGTAACAGTTAAAAGCTAGTGTTTTTTCAGTATAATGGCAATAGATATAGGCCAAGGTTTTATAATTCTGACCATTAATATGAAATATACTCAGTGAAGTCATTTCGAATAATAGTTTTTTTGAGTAGGTTGAAGCTTGATCATAATCATTTTTCATGTATAGGTTGAGGTGAGGATTCTCAAACCTTGGTTCTTGCGTAGATCGATAGAGAAAATGCTGACAATATTTATTGAGAAAAAAGAAAAAAGTTAGTTCTTTCCTACACTGTTAGAAATCTGTGTTCTTCCGTTCTTTGGAGAACATGGTGAAGAACACGAATGTGTTCTTTGAAAACTGAAGAACAGAATATATGTTCTTCAGCCTATTTTCGCGTTTTGGTTCTTCAGCAGGGTTTTTGTTCTTCAAAAAATTAGTTCTTCATTTTTATAAAGAACAAAAAACGAATTCGTGTTCTTCAGAGAATATAATTTTTGTTTCTCAGCTTTCTGAAGAACATAAGTCATATGTGGATAAATCCATTAAATAGTTATTCATGAAAATGTGTATATCGGAGCAAATTGAGGAGAGGCGATGATTGCGATCAAATGGTAATAACGACCATCTTTTATAAACTTAAAAAAAATAAACAAACAAACATTTTTTTGCGAGCTGTATGATCGTTCTTTGCTTTTGTTGAAATCTTCTCTGTCAGACCATTGATTTTTGGATGATTATTCTTCTTTCAGATTCTATTCTATCGTCGTTTTGTCTGTTTGTTTTCATTTATGCTACAGAGAAAACTTAGAAGTAAAAGAGGAGTTCCGAACTGTGAGCTGTAATCATTTTGTTTTAGTCTTCCTGTTCGACCTTCAGGCTTTGCCGATTAGCTTTTTTAGGCTATAAGACCGTTAGAAGAAAATAAGCTTATCAGCGCATAGTGTTTTGAGATTCATT